GATGAGGTGAGCAGACATGTTCCCTTGTGAAGATGGTACCACCCTCTTGACTTTACCTCCTGGAGTTGAAGTTCAAGTGGCACTCTGTGTCTGAAACCAGAGCTAGATCCTTAGCATCTTTTCCCACTTTGAATTGACATACTTTAGTGACTCCTGTCTTGTGGTCAAACACTCATCAGTTCTGTGGTTGGGAGTTTCAGCCAGGGCCCCAGAACCACTTTCTGTACCCTGGAGGCAGCAGTTCTTCCATTTCCTGAAACAGCTCAATGCAGCCTGCCTGATCTGTTGCAGACACTCATCCCCCATGGCAACCAGTGCTTAAAGCTCCAACTGCTCCTGGCTGGGTAGCTCAGTTGGTTGGAGCGTTGTCCTGACATGCCAAGGTTCCAGGTTTGATCTCTGGTTGCAAGAAGCAATCAAGGAATGTATAAATAGGTGGAGTGACAAATCTGTTTCTCTTTCTCCCTTCCTCTATCTCTCTCAAATCAATCAATCAATAAAAAAAAAAATAGCTCCAACGGCTGACCCATGAGGGGGAATGCTGGAAGCTCTCGTAGGTTCCATCATCCACCAAGAGGCCTGTCAGCCAGCATCAGGCAGTGGAGAGCATCCATGGAGGATGCCTAGCACAAGTGTTTTCCTCAAACACCAGGTTCCCACACAGGACTTTTCCTGACTCCTGTGGCAGGTGTCCTTCTGCCTGAGAAAATGCCACAGGTGCACACTGATACTTCAGTTCTTATTTTTGTGATTTAAACAATGCTTGAGAAGATTTGTGAGGGGCTGGTTGGAAGGACCCTCATCCAACTAACTGGACGCAGTGGCTAACACGTTCCCAGGAATGAACAGGTCTAACTAGAACAGAGGGTGGAGGGGCAGTGGGGTGGACAGAGTTTTACTTCTGGTTGCTGTGGCTTTCACACCAGGCACTGAGTTTTTGTCTCCAGGGGTGGCTTCTGGAGGTTGTCAGTTTCTCTCCTCCCTTTGAATTTAGCACAGCCCAAGGTGTGTTCTTAGAGGAATGTGAATACTGCATTGTTTGGTTTGGTTTTTAACGGCTCATCTGTTGTCAATTTGAGAATAGGAAAGCAGTTTTCTCATTTCCCAAGACTGACTATAAAGTGTGTGGATCATGGGGGTCTCTCATTTCTTTTCTTTGGCTACTACTTATTAATCTTCAGGTTTACATTTCCATGGGATGGTATGAAGGTCCTCCATGAGCTAGTTGTGTTGGGTGCCTGGCAAGTCTTGTGTACGACCCTTTGGGTCATCACACAATGTTTTCTGCTCTCTCGGAGTTTATGGCCCATACTGGGAGTGGATGGTGGGAGGGGGAACTAATTAACATTAGCGCATTAGCTAGGGAGTCAGAAGATTTGAATTCTGGGATCAACTTTGTCACCTAGCTCGATTCTATGACCCCTAACAAGTCCCTCTTCTTCTTTGGTCGTCAGTTTCCCCATCTGTACAATGGGTATGTTGGCCTCAATTATTATCAGGCTTTCTTTCTATCTGTTATCCTAGCTTAGTCTGTCCTCTATCTTTTTATTATCTTCTTGCAGGATTCTGACAGGGTGAGCATTCAACCAGCATTAGGTGCTGACCATTCCTTTGAGTTTTGTATTTGTCTAGTCTTCCATTTTCTCAAACATTCTTTATAGATTTCATCTCCTCCTTGCTTTGGGGACATTTATCTCATTTATTTATTCCTTAAATTTCAGTGATTCTACTGCTATCATTACAGCTGTCCTCTACCGAGCGTCCTCATTGGGCCATCAGTGTGGCTATTTCCATATTTCAGTCTTGTTTCATTCCCACAACCTCTCAGCATTGTGTATAAAAGCCCCAGCCAGATGCAGTTTCCACAGAGAGGTGACTACCTGAAGGGCCAGAGGCCGGAGGAACAGGGCCCTTTAAAAAAATCGCGTCCCCATAAAGTTCAGCATTCCTAGTAAGCATCTTCCTCTTTTCAGCAGTGACATTTACAACTTGGCATCTTATTTCATAGTTACATAAAAGGATAACAGTCTGGACAGGTGCCCGTGCTGGTGCAGGCTGCGCTCGGAGCTGTCAGCCTCCCTGAGCAGGAGGGCGTGTCCCCTCCGCCTTAGCCTGAAAGGTGACACCTGGGTCAGTCTTTTTGCTTTGGTGCGAAGGGGTCACTGTGCTGGGCCTGCTACTGCTTTCCTTCCTGATCAGTTGACCGTGTTTGGTGAAGTCCCTCTTGAAACGGGTGTTTGCGGCTTTTGGTGAACCCTGCCTGAAAGGTGCTTTACACATGAGGAGTTATAAAAAAATGGAAGCCTCTCCAAATACGGTGTCTTAGGGCTGCACACTGCCTTCCCAGGCTCACTCCCTGCCAGTCCCTGAAGAGGGGAAAGTGTTCAGATGTATTGAGCGGCTTATTAGGACAAGGCTGGGGCTCTGCCCAGAGGAAGGAGCTGTGTCTCTTCAGGAGACTTCTGATGTCCCGAAGCTCTGCCTTCCCGCCACACTCCCTTTCTCAGGGAGCATTCTCTTTGTCAAGGTGCACAGGTGGCAGTGACCTGAGGTAGGCAGCGACTTCTGACCAGGTCCTGTCCAAGCAGGCCAGGCTGCTTCTTGCAGAACAGGTAGGATTTGGATGACCTGGAAAGACCAGGACACGTACACAGCACCTGTAGGCTTTCAAGGAAGTGTGGCTGGCTAAATGACGGAACGAATGGCCTCTCTACCTCTAGGAGTTTAATTATAGTGACATTACCATTTTCAGGTAGAGGGCTTCCCTTAAACCCCATGTTTGACCAGCTTGTTGTTCTGCTTTTTGTCTGTCAGGGTCTTTGGCACTTCTGCATGCCGCTGGGGTCCGTGTGTGGATAGCGTCTGCCTCCTTGGAGTTCCTCTCCAGTCGGAAGGGGGTCAGGGTCTGTGGAAAGAGCATGCAGGCTTTGAAGTCAAGCAGACCTAGGTTCAGATTCCAGCTCCAACACTCAACTTGTTGTGGACCTTGGGCTATTGTTCTCAAAGGTCCCAAACCTCTGCTTCTCCATCTAAACATGTTGGGTGGTTACAAGAAATAAACTATTGCCTGTGCAATGCTGGTCGCTCAAAGAAGGGGTGCTTCTACGTGGTCGTCATTGATGTTATTGGAATTACTCCCTGGTGCCATGAAGTTGAGAGTTACCCTTCTCTCATAGTCTTGACAGTGCCACAAAATTGCCACCAAACAACCTTGAGGCCTCCCCATCTCCAGTTCAAATGCCCCCTGTCCACCCCCACCCCTTTCATCAACACAATTTGCAGTGATGTAGTTTCTCTGTCATCCCGTCCCAGCCTCACAGGGGCTCTGCTCTGCCTTGTGTACGGCCTGCGTGTGGGAGCTCAGGCGCAGGAGATTTCCGTATGGGGTGGGCAGCGTGAGGCCGGGCAGCAGCAGGCCCCACACGGGCCCGGCCGGCCCATTTTTCTCTGCCCCTCCCCACAGGGCCAGAAGAGCTCACTCTGGTGCCCTCTCCTCTCCTCTGGACTGGGTTCTTACGTGCTGTAACTTTCTTTTCTTCAGGAAACTCACGTAGGATATCAGCTAATGTTTTATTTCTGCGTCACAAAGGAAAATAGAACAAGGAACAAATAAATCAGTTTTTCTTAAAGAGTAAGCTGTGATTTCTTCAGAAACTAATTTCGAGGATGGCAGTGAAATTCCACACACATTCCTCAGTGCTGACTGGATTCCAAGCCCTGGGCAGTGAGTGGATGGAGGCTAAGACCCCAGAGATAGGGTCCCTGTCCTCAGAGGGCTTCCAGGGGCAGCCTGGCCTCAGGCACGAAAAGGCTGGTGGAGAGCCATGCGGGGCCCTGATGCTCTGGGTGGAGGAGCATCACCTCTCCACATTGCCCAACATTGAGGTCCAGCCCGTGCCCCCTCTTTCATTATTCTTCCTGGGCTGCCTCAGGCCTCAGCAAGTCTCCTCGCCCAGCCCTGGACCCCTGCACCTCCACAGCCTGTGCAGGTCACGTTTCCCACCCATGTCCCATCATCTTGGCATCACAGCCTCACAAGGCACATTGTATTGTCTCCACTTTAACAAATGAAATAACTAAGATTTAGGGAAGTAAAATAATTTCCCAGGGTTACAAAATTCATCTGCAGCAGAACTGGAACTTGCACCCATGTGGTCCAATTCCCATTAGGCCTTCCCTTGAGTACCAAGTACTGACTACCTCTCTTCATCCTTTAATCCCAAGTACCCCCTCTTTGGGACTTCCACAGCCCCTCTTCCACGTCATGCCAACATTAGTTCCTCCCTCCCTGTTTTTAGTCACCTGCATGTCTCTCCTGGGGGCAGGGTCTCAGGCAGCCTGGTGTCTGACCCTCTCCTGGCACCGACAGCATAGGTAGGAGGAGCTCAGTCGGGCGTGGTTGGGTGAAGGATAAGAGAATGCACTTGGCTGACCCCTCCCTCCTCAGTTCTTGCTCCTGAGTTATCTCAAGGCAGTGGAAGCAAACAGCTCTTCGTGCCGGTGGTTGTGAGACTCAGTTTGACAACACATTTAGGTTTCTATAATGTAATACTAATCATAAGAGCCTAAGACAGTAACGGTTCTTATCCCCGTCTCCCGTGGGTCATATGCCACCTGTGCCCCATAAAGCAACACCTGTATGCTTTCAGTTTTGAGTAGTGTCAATGTAATGTGTCAGGTACTTTTGAGAATGAAACAGTGCACTGTCGACAATTATACCAGGACGGAGGGCCTAAACTGGAGCATGTGGTCACCAGGATTTAAATAGAATGTGTCTGCCATTGGAAGAAAGGACATGGGACTTTTATTTTTGACTTCCAGTCTTGCAGAGGGGGTTGCTGGCAAAGGAAGGGTCTCTCTTCCTAGAGGTAACTGCATCTTTGGTGACAGCAAGAATAATCCAGGACCCTTTTCTGCACCTTCCACTTCATTTTCTATAAATAGCCAGGCGTCCCAGGATGTGTGTCTGGGTCTTATTGTTGTCTCTTTCTTTCCTCCAGAGATCTTGCGGATAATTCAGCTGGACCTAGACCTAAAGTACAAGACCAACATCCGGGAATTGTTTGAGGAGTTTGACAATTTCCTGCCAGGCGCCGTCATTGGCATCGCCAGAGAGATGCAGCCCGTGTACAGGTGCGTAGGAGCTGTGGGGCAAGCTCTGGGACCCCTCCCCATCCCTCACTCCCCTCTCCTGCCACTCGTGGCCAACTGGGATTTATCAGTGCAGTCTTTCTGCACCGAGTATCTCAGGGACACATTTGGAGTTATTATTTACAGATAGTAGTATAGGCAGGTGGCTTTGCTTCAGAGCCGGAGATGCCCTCTCATTCTTTTGGGGGAGTTTGTGACAATTTTCTTGTGGTAAGCTCAGCTATTTTGGTTGTTGGTTCTGGTTAAGCTCAGAATTTTAAAATCTTGAGCTTTGTCTTACAGAGGAGTCGTAGGGTCTAGCTTTAACTTGCCAGTCTGGTGATAGATGAGGCTTTCTTGGCCTCTGAGTCACCAGTGACCGCGGGAGTCTGTCAGGGAGGCAAAGGCAGCACAGCTTTGGGACACAGACTGGCATTACCCAGTCGAGGTGAAGAGCGCGTTGTATGATGCAGTGTTTTATTGTCGAGTGTGCGTCCCAGAGAGACTACAGCACCCGAGAACCAGGGGCCGTCTTCAAGAACAGCCTCTGCAGCATTGCTTATAGTCACCAAAAACTGAAAACAGTGTAAATGTCCATAGACAGCAGAGGGCAGAACATGTCTCCATGCCACAGAATATTGTAAGGACAAACGCCAGCAGACATAGCTGCAGTTAACAGCACACTGACGGACAAAACCGAACTGTAGTCTTCGCATACACAACTTAAAGGGAAAACAAATTAAAGGGAAAACTTAATTTGTTTTAAGGGAAAAATTAAAGGGAAAACATGGAGATAATGATTCCCACAGCCAGAAAGATGGTTGCCTCTGGAGGGGATGGGGCAGTGGCGGGGAGGGGACCCAGGCGGCTGCCTCTGGAGTGTGCAGTGTTGCAGCTCCCTCTGGGTGGCTGTGAATGTGCCTGTGTGTGTATATCTTACAGTCAAGAATAAAAACAGGAAGGAAAATCAGAAGCACCTACAGGTTTTTGTTAACTAGGCCATGGCCCTGGATCCAGAGAGTTCCATGTTGCTGACTGTTCCCCCTCCGGGTGGAGCCATAGCTGACCCCGAGCTGAGCTGCCTGGAGCAGGGATTTCACTGTCCCTCGGGCTGGCCTGCTCTTGTTCTCCGTGCAGACCCTCATGCCGGCTCCCGTTGGCCAGGCCTGGAGCTAGGCCCAGCCTTCGGAGCGCTGCAGGGCACAGGCAGCTGTGAGTCCAGAGCACACATTTCTCCTAAGGGGGGAAGCACAGCCTCAGCGTGGTTGTGGCTATTTGCAAGGCCCGGATCACATAACAGGAAATTCCTGCAAAGCCTCTGAATGAGCTGATAACTCCTGGGCCCTGTGGGTTGTTCTCCTGGACATAATCCTCTCACAAGCTGCCCTGGAGTCACAAAGTAGAGCCTCTTACTCTGCTTTAGGCAATGGCAGGGGAGGGTTTGGGCAAATACCTGCCATTTAGCTCACAGCAACCTCCCTGCCTCACAGCCTCACCTTCGTACCAGGTGTATCTTATGTCTGGGGTTCTTGATTTAACAAAAGGAGGTGACGGAAGGAGCACTGAACTAGGAGTCCAAAGTCCTCTGTGCTGGTCCCAGCTCTACCACCCTACATGGAGCCCTGGCTCTCCCCCTGGGACCCCCCGCTCCCAGCTCTGGCTATTGTGATCCCAGCCTTCTGACCCTCGCCGTTTGCTCATTGTCTTTCCTCTGTCCTGAAGTTGCTTGTCTGCCGGTGAGCTCCTCACTGTCCATAGGGGCCAGTGTCCCTGGAATATTTAAACCAGGCTAATTATTAAATGCAGTTAGAGCAGTGATGCTTTCAAGCCCTGGTTTGAAATCTTCTCATGTAATATAAATGGAAATCTGGCCACACTTCATTTACATTGGCCAGAATTTATGTTTTCTGTAGATCTAGGATTTTATCAACTGTGAAAATTAAATCGATTTAATTGTCTGGCCTTCTCAAAAACAATCTTTAAAAGATTTTAGATCCAAAATGAAATTGAGTTTTTCTCACCTTCAGCGTCTTTAATCAGATGAGTGAGCCCTCTGCTGCAGGATGGCTGTAGAGCCCCAAAATGCCTGTTTGCAGGGCTTTGCACTCACTCAACACAAAGGACAACTTCCGCCCATGCTCTCCCCTTTTCACTCTCTCCCAGTTGAAATGTTTCTGAAGGCCTTCAGTGAAGTCTCCACAGACTGCGCTGCATGAATCTGCAGCGTACCGGCTCTGGGTAATTGCCTTGGATATTCTGGGGCTAGGGATGGCTTGGTGCTGGCTGGAGCAGACGAAGAATGGAGGAGTGTGGCCTTTTGCCCTCGTCCACAAGAAAACTGGAGATTCCTCGGTGGCCTGCAAGGCCAAGTGTTAAGTTGTTTGCCACTTTGGAGCCTGTGCCTGGTGTGTGTGTTTGTGGGGAGCGGTGGGGGAAGAGAGGGGGAAGAGAAAGGAGTAAGCGAACAGTACCCAAGCAAGGATAGATGGAGCTGGGCCCTCCTCGTCAGCCTGCAGTCTCAGCCCCCGTCTCCTTGAACATGGCCCACGCAGCTTGCGGGGAATCCCCTGCCTGGCCGTCTGCCCATCCGAGGGCATGGGCCACTCCCCGGACCCCCTCGAGGAGCTGGCAGCATGCAGCACCATAAGCTCTCCCCAAGTGGTGGCGTGTGAGGTGGGCATGTTTTTTTCTAGCATAAGTGGAATCTGCTAGCATCTGTGAAAAGAAAGGAAGTTTCAGAAACAAAACAAAAACACAAAAACAAAAGTTGGACTGATGAACTGAGTTCATTTTGGTCTGGAAATTCACTAAGCAGAAATAAATTTGGATCTCCTCGGTGGTGTTATTTTTATAGTCACTTGTCTGACAGTTTCTTCACTTCAAAGGGGCACTTATTAAGTCATTTTTATGGCTATTTCCCCTCCATTGTGTGCCATGAATGTTAGAAGTTTGGAGGGGGTGGGGGAGAAAGTATTTCCCCACTGTCCATTTGACAAATAGCTTTCTTTACAATTTTTTTTTTTAAACCAAATTTTCTGGAAAATGAGGGATCACTGAATGCTAGCATAGTGATAGAGGAAATTTTTCCTCTTGGGTCCCTGTTAAGATTCTGTTAAATCAAATACTCTGTGACCCTCCTCATCTGAAAATTGTGGAGCAGTGGTCATTTTGGGTGAAATATTGCCCTTTCTTTCTTGACTTTTTATCTTCCTTTGTGTCAGGGACCTAGACCACAAACAGGTCCTCACTGGTGATGTGTTTTGTTAGAATACATTGCAAACAGGAGAAAAGGGCCTAGTGGTTTCTCAGTTCACAGAATGGGCTCTGTACATGGATAGTTGTATTTGTAAACATGTATTAGCCCAGGATGCCACTTTGAATGTGCTTCCTTATGATTGTTGGTGGAAGTCCTGTTCCACGGGATTTCGAGGAAAGCGTTCTGAGGACACAGGCACGCGAGACTGTGGTGTGACAAGATTTATTTGTGATGCAGAATCAAAGGAGTTCCCTTCTTGGTTTTCCACTGTCCCATTTCGGTCCATCCTGCAATAGAAAAAGTTCAATCTTGTCTTCGTCAAGGCCAAAACAAAGGCTGGTGTCCAGAGTGTCTGTTTCATATTGAAGCTTAGTCCTTGGGCTCCAGGTGGCCTAGACCCACATGGTTGCTTATGGAGAGAATACTCGAATGAATGGGGCCAGTACATTACCAGGTGGTGGAGAGGGGGAGAGAGAGATTGAGAGATTGAAATTGAGATTCTTTGTCCCCCTGGGAAAGAATCAGGAAGTTTTTCAAAATAATCAATTTCCCAAACCTTTTTGGGCTTCTGATGGGTTCACCCCCTAGCCAGTGATTCCTTTCCCAGGTTAGATGGATAGGTCTCCATGGTTAAGCACCTCCCCCTGTGCCATTTTGACTTCTGTTGTACATGTGCTTACCTCCCCACACCCCCCCCCCACACCCGAAATCCAGGTACTGGAGCCGGGGAAGGGAGGGGTGTTAATCCTTGGCAGGGCAAGCAAACAGGCTCATGCTCCCCAACCCATTAGGCTCAACAATGTCTGACTTCCTTTGCTTCCTTCCTTTTATTAATATCCGCCTAACTACAGTAACAAATATATTAGAAGACTAAAGAAAACTGTCAGACCCTCCGGATGTGCAGCCTATAAAAATTATACAGCAGTAAAGTGGCTGTATGTAGAAGAAATCACACTCAGGTTGTGCCCAGAGGCTGTGGATTATAGTCCGGCCTTTCGTGAATTATCCGTGGGACGCTTTGCAAGTCACTTGATTCTCTGATCCTCTGTTTTTTAATCTGTAAGGGGGGATAAATATATGTAATACATAGAATCACTCGAAAACTCAAATGTAAAACATCCATGAAAGCTCCTGGTGTAAAAAAGACCCGTAGTGAAGAGGGTTTCCTCACTCCCTCCCGCGATCTCAATTCCTTTTCTTGTGTTTTCTTTTCCAGATGGTTTGTTCTTTTGGGAGCTTCTGTTCTACCCCACCCCCAACCATATAGGGTCACCGGTTAAAATACAGGGCACCCAGTTAAACTGAATTTTAGATAAACGATAAAAGTTGTTTTGTATAAGTATGACCCAAATATTGCATGAGGACATTTTTATACAAAACAATTATTTTTTGTTTAAATGAAATTTAAATTTAACTGGGCATCCTTTTTTTTTTTGCTAAATCTAAAAGTCCTACCCCAACCCAAGAGTTAAAATCTCCTCTTTTTAGCAGAAGCAAGTGCTGTACTTTCTACAAGATCCTTGAGTCGAGCACGGGTGGAGCGTGTGCGGAAGCCAGTGAGAGTGAGGAGTGGGAGGCAGCCCTCAGGCTCCTGGAGGCAACAGGCCCGAGGGCCTCCTGTGCGGGAGCTAGAGCACTGCTGTGGTTTTCGGGGTGGCCGCTGGGGCCAGAAAGCCTGGCAGTGGCTTAGGTTCAGGCCACAGACTCCTGCTGAGCTTAGGGGCAGAGGGAGGGAGGGAGGAAAGAG